GCTTAAGATTGCAGAGGCAAAAGGCGCTAGTGATCTGGAACAGAAAAACGAGGCATGAGACGGAACAAATTCAGCCATCCGTAAGTGTAGTTTGCAAACAGCTCTCAGGAAATGCGTGCAAGATTTTTCGAAGGAAAGCAACTGCATTGTTCCTCAGTGTGTTAACCAGTCCGCCGGTCTAGAGGGTGAGAATAAAGATGATTTGGTCGAAAATAATTTAGACCGCGCGACTGAGACAGCTGACGCAAGGTGTGCGAGGGTTGACGAGCTGGAGATGCAATCGGGAGGCTCGGAAACGAGACGCAAGAAGCGGCGCAGACGCAAGAGACGTCGAAGAGCCGCGAGCGAGACAAAAGGCACTACGTGTGTTGAAGAAAACTCGCAAAATTTGAGCGTAGCAGGCAAAATTAGGCGTTTCGCATCAGCGTCAAAGTTGCCCTGCATGAGTCCGAGCCACCGAACAACAAGTAAAAGAACAGCGGGTTCTTCGCAAATGCAATCAAGTGGAAGGCGCCAGCGGAAAAAGGGCAGGCCACAGCGCGCATCCTTGCGACCGAATTCGCGGCAGAGGTTTAGAGCTTTCCGCGGACAAGAGTGTCGAAGGGGTCCTGAGAAAAAGGTCACAATAGCTAAACACTGCACGGGAGTGAGCCCAAAGAGGACATTGCCACTTTTTCCCGCGCGTTGCTCGAATCCCCTCCGCCGGGCTGACCGAAGCCCGCCGAAATCGCGAATGAGGCGTGACTGTACCGTTCAGCTGGAAGCACGTGCGCGTCGTTGCCTCGGGCGTTCTCGAAATCTGCCAAGACCTCGACCGCCACGTGTACGATTGAAGTGACGGACAGCTGTAAGCTGGAGAGTCGGACACAGGGGTTTTATTAGAAGCATGCATGTTTGTTTAATTTTGATTTTACAGGAGTATGCCTGTGTCATCTTCACGGTTAGTTTGTTTAGCTACAGATTTCACTTCTCGTATTTGTAAGCATTGTAAGCGTTTTCAGTTAAGCTGATATGCGGAAGCAGTGGCCCGCATCAGTCTGCCGACTGCCTGAAATTAGTTTTTCTTCGAGTTCACTTGGTCACCACCATAGTGTAGTCTTCTGTTGTGCAATAATTACGAGCCTTACAGCAGTTACACCTGGTGATTCTCGGAGAGCGGAGTGTTCTCAGTGTGGGTGTCCGGTTGAGAGCGTCTTCCTCCCCCGCTAAAGGCAGGCAGAAGATTGCTATGCCTACCGGTCCAACAGCATGGCATGGTGGACACGACCGAACCAGCTATTGCGGACTGTGGCTTTTCGGTAGGGCTTCCTTGCTTCCTTCGGCCAGTGGACGACCAGGCAGCGGTGACGGGGCCTTTGCGGCTGTGGACAGTCCCATGCTGTGACCAAGCGTGTGATGTGTGCGGGCCTCTTTACGACGTCGAGGTGCGCCTACCGTAGACCTGCTATGTGGCGGTGTCTCTGTGTTGTGGTGGACAGTGTTGCGCCTAGGAGCCGGACTACGGCCACTTCAGGGGAGCAGCGCCACTGCAGTCCTTACGTGACCTCTTCGGACGGCGGACGAGCTGTCATAACCAGCAATACAAGGAACCGACATGCAAGGGACGCTCATCGGCGTACCTGCCATACGCTGTCCGCGTTCCACAGGAACGCGGGAAATCTCTTGGCGTGCTGCGAGGAACGCGCATCGGCAGGCCTGCTGAACGCAGTGGGCGTCTAGCGCGTGCACGGACGGCTATAAAAGGAGCGTGTCGGGAGTGCGCTGGGCTCTCTCTCTGGATTTCGCTGGCCCGCTCGTCTCGAGTGCGCTCTGGGCCCTTGTGATGGAAAGGGGCGTCTGTACGCCCTCGTTGCAATGTACTTTCTCTTGCAAATATGTAAATTAAACGCATCTTCTACTTGTTCGTGAGACGCGTCGCAAGAGTCGTCCTTCGCCGGATCCTGGGTGGCAGCCTCAACCCCTCCCTGGGCATATCAGTAGGCTGAAGCGGCGCTGGACTTGCTGCTTCAAGTTCCCGTCGAACGATACGTGCGACACTCTGCTCAAAGAGCAGTGTGGCGGCGGAATCAGAGCAGGTGGACGTAGCCGCCATTTTTGGCAAACGAGAAAAAGGAGGGCGCACCCGACAGTTTCTTGCTGTTTCGGAACGGCGGCATTCATGAATAATGCGATCGATAGTCGAGACGTTGGTGTAGATCAGCGAACTGAAAGCGTCGTCCGCGATTCCCTTTAAAATGTGACCAACCTTGTCAACTTCAAACATCGCCTCATCCACTTTCCAACAAAGAGCGAGAACTTCTTGTATGTAGGACACATACGGTTCAGTTGGCAACTGGACACGGATAGCCAGCTCCTGTCGTGCAACTGCGTGGTGACCGGTCGCGTCTTGTCACACACTTAGGGTGAGAACCCGCCGATGTAACATCGACGTGCAGCAGACTCGCAGGCTTTAGTCTGAGACGCCTGAAAGGCCTCGAAGTGGTACATCTCAAATTTATTTGCAGGTCAGCCGACCCGTGAGGGGTTGCACGTGTGGTGATGTATGAGCCTGACTAACGCACTCGTAGAGCAGGCACAGAGATTTTATTACATACAACCAAGTATTTAATTAAAACAAGGGCAAAGGCAGGAGTTAACAAAATAACAGAAGATGAAGGTCTAAGCAAAGAGTACCAGCGAAACGATCTATCAGACCACAATGGGTCGACAGGAAGTCCATCCCTAAGATGAGGTTATAAGGACAGTTATGGAGCACCGTGAATAGGACAGAAACGTAGCTGTCAACGATGCTTATGAGAGCCGTACACATTCCGATGACAGGAACAGTTCCGCTATCGGCGACATGTACAACTACTGTAGCTGAAGGCGTGAGTACTTTTCTTAAGCGGCGAAAAGATGAACACTGATTATCGAGATGTCAGCACCAGTATAGACTAGTGCCGTCAAATAAATACCGTCCACGGGCACATCGATAAGATTCTTGCTCGTAGGAAGCGTCAATGGAGGGTTTGGTTCAGACAGAGATGACGCAGCACTACCTCCAGAAGCTGCACGGTCTAGTTTTCCGACGGGTACGATGGAAAGTTGGCCGGCGAGGGATGGTGGGGTGGCTGGGGCGACGGAGAACGACGGCGTTGAGGCGATGCAGAACGAGCAGGAAGGCGGCTGTTAGGTGTGTCGAAAGCAAAATTCGTACGTCTGGGCGAATACCGGCGAAGATCTTCATATGGACGATAAGGTGCAAAAGACAGGTTCCTATGTGGCAACGTCCAGGAGGCACGGCAGTAGCTGGAGACATGTCTAACGCGGTGGCACCGGAAGCAGATTGGTTTTGTCATCGGGAGTCCGCCATTCCATGGGGTTCCGAGATAGTGGAGGAACAAATGGTTCACATCAAGATGCATTGGTCCGTATTGGTCTAGAGGAGGGACAAGACACGGGGCAGGCGACAGGGAACCTGAGTTTAGTGAATTCTTGTCGTATGACCGCCTGAATGTGTAAGGAAGACACGGAGGGTGTAAGGAAGACACGGCGAGTGTAAGGAATACACGGCGGCGGCGCTGCTGCGTCGTTAGTCGCCGGATGTTGCCTCCCAACACAAAAGCACCCTTTCTTGGACGATGGGGCGCGGGCGAAACGAAAATTGCAGTAGTTTGTGACATAGCCCCTTCCTCAAGAATATTGCTGCCTAATATTCAAGAAAATCACAAACACGTACTGTTCGAGCGCTCCCGGTGTTCCAGTCGTCCACCAATGCGCTTTCTTTTTTTTTTTTTTTTTTTTGCACACGATTTCACTGACGTGGAAGACACTGCACAGAATCCAAGACGCACCACACTTCACTGTCACACCAGGACGAAAGTCAGATCTCGCGCAACAGGCCATGACCCCACAAATACGTAAAGAAAATGATAAAAATAGTGCACAGTTGAAAGCTAAGGCACGTAAGCATCCTTTGATGCCACATATTCAAACATTCATGATGTAAGCGGTATAGATAAGTCACTTATTGAGGCGTTAGAAACCAAAGAAAGGAAAACGAATAAACAAATCTGAATGGCGGTTTGAGCGAAGTTTCACTGGGATACAAAAAAAGCTTTCAAGAACACGCCGTCATTCTTGCGAGTACGCAAGCACGCCTGCCCGCGTGCTTGCGTACTCTCGTGCTTGCGCTGCAAACCTTATTGTAATGAAATTTAACCAACTAACCCAAATAGCCGTTATTCATCTTGCTTCTCATAGGAAAGAAAAAAAAAATGATAACATTAGTAGTTTGGGGGGGGGGGGGGTTGTTCTGTCAGGACATGATGCTCGCCCAAACGCTGGACCTTGTGCATGCCCACATCGTATACTGTACTCAAGTGACTCCACCCGACCACCGAAGTAATTGCTCAAGGTCACTAGGTGACCCTGAACACCTAGTCAATTTGAGAATATTGTTTGGGGATCACCTAGAACTGCCAAAGCCTCAGCCAGAAGCAATGAGTTTAAGCAATGTTATTTTTCTACTGCTCCAAGAAAATACCCTGCAACCAAAGAGCTCCGTCAGATTCTACAGGTGACTTCACATTTTCCTAATGTCTAGCACAATGACCCCACATCAAATAGGCATGGTCTGCTTTGCTATGGCAAGGATGGAATGGGCCACAAATACAGCTGAAATTCATACTGTTAAAAAAAGAAAACTGTAGGGTTAGCAGTCAACAGGTGGCACCCACGGCAAGGTGAAGAACCTTAACACGTAACGTATAAAAAGAAAAAGAAAGGTAATGACCTCAACAGCCTTTCATTCACTGTTGCCACACAACTGCTTTTTGCCACAGTGTCAGCAATACGTGTACACTGGTCTAAGATGTGGCCAGTGTGTTAACTCTCATTTGGTTGTCTGCCAAATGCAGAAGAGCTTTACTGCTTAGTTTTTGTGAATACTGAACACATTGTGGCAAAAAACTTACGTACACTTAGATCACTCTGCCATGACAGTCTCCTTTTAGCCTTACCTTAATGAAACCACTGTATGCATGCTTTGGCAAGGCCCTTTTCTTTTCCTTTTTTGCTACTTTGGTAATAGTGGTAGTGCCCTGAAATTAGAAAGTAGAGGAGAAAGAAAAATAAAGCGACAATAAGATGCTTGAAATACAGATCCCTACAATTAGACACCAAATTGACAAATTAGTTCTGCAAAATCCTGTGAGGTGATGGAAGTGTTATGAAAGAGAAATTTGGTATCCGCCTGTTTGTAGCGCAAAGCAACAAGAACATCAATAGGGAGTACAAAGAAAGAAGAGCTTCCTCACTGAGAAAATATTTGTCCTAATCTGGGTAATGATCTGTTGGTACTCTTTATACATGTACCCCAGTCTTACAAGGCTGGAGTTATAAGGACTGCCACCAGAAGCACTGAAGACTTTACCCACCGGTGGTCACGTGATGAGACTAAAGGAAAACTTAACATTACTCTCCATTTTAGTCAGACCATTGTGAGCACACAGTGGGAACGCTTGCATTTTTGAGCACAACACTTGTGACAGTAGGGAATGATTAATGAGTGGAACCAAAACACCAGACCGTATCACTGCAACCTCCTGGCTTTATGGTTTTTGTAGCCAAATGTGCTGCATATCTGTCATGCCACCTAAAAGCATTCCAACCATACACAGAATGTTTGTTTCTAGAGCATGTGCTGTGCTGTGAAGACTGTTGCACATCAAGTACATTTGTTCACAAGATATGTGCACAGTAACTCGTACTATAACATCACATCTTCCTCATACCGTTGTCTCCGCTTTCACCCTCTTGATGCTCTCCAGGCTGACCTCTGTACCTTTCACTTTATAAAACATCATCTTCTTCTCCTGACACAGCCAACTACTGCACTGACTAAGACAACACTGGCAATGACAGCAATGAAAAAAAAAAATGCCTATTGCAGCAAAATAAAGTTCTACAGTCACCATTATTTTCATGCCTGTTGTACTTTGACAGAGCTCTTATCATGACATAATATGTGTATGTGGTCTTGCCCATGCAAAGTCTTCCTTATATACAGGCAGTAAACAGTGAAATAAAGCATGGAGACAGAGCAGACAAATGGGAAAAGCACTGAATGAATCACCAACAAGCTCGATAAGCCACTTTACTCGACATGCAGCTTTTGCACCTGAAAAGGTGGCTCGGCAACTGTACCGCCGCGCTGCTAAGCACCAGGGTGCCAATTTGTTTTTTGGCCATGGCGGCTAACCTCTGACGGGGATAAAATGCGAAAATGGCCACATACTTTGACCTAGGTGCACATTAAAAAAAAAACTCTAGGGGGTCATATTTGAACTGGAATAAATATGGTACACCTCAGTACCGCATTCTCATTTCACCACACTAAACCATGAATTTAATAGTCTTTTTATTTAATGGAGAGCAAAGGATTTCAGAAATGCAGCTTTAGTTATCGCCTCTCATTGCTTTACCTTTAATGTCGCCTCCATCATACTGACAATGATTTTTTGTACAGCAGACAAACAAAGACAGAGAGGGAAAAATTCTCAAAGACTTACATCAGACACGTCGACCTTGATGCTCTTAGCTGCGTCATTGAATGCCTTGCTCCACCACTGGGACGTCAGGTCAATCTTGTGCCCAACCTAGGAGCATGATATAGTAAAAATCCACAATAAGTTACCACGGCAGATCATACATCTGCAGCATGCACCAAGCCATAACAAGTAAGTTTTGCCTCGCACAACATTTAGTTGCAACTTTTTTTTGTTAGCGTGAAAGCTCCAGCTCTGATACTATCTTTCCCTTTGCATCAATGCCACTGAATATACACAAAAGTCACACAAGGTTGCCATCACTAGCCACCATTCTAGTTAAGTAAACAGTAGGTCTATTCGATTCAATAAAATTGCACGGCACTGCACAAAAACGGTGGAGCCGGTGCCGACACCTGGTGCAGCAGGTGTATCTAGGTGTCTCGGTACCCATTTCAGAGTGCAAATGCTACGCATTAGCAGCACCACCACTTAGAGTCAATCAATGTTTAGGTGAAATCCTTTGCTCTCCCTTAAATAAAAAGACTATTAAATTCATGGTTTATTGTCGTGAAATCAAATGTTGAGATGCAAGCAGAGAACACCTGTCGTCTGCAGCTCGGCTACGTAAGTCGTCGTGTGTATTGTGCGCCCACGAATTTGCAGCTCCTGATGTTTAAGCATGGAAGAATTCTACATTGCTACGGAAATAGCTGAATCCAACAGTGAAGACGAGGAACTTGACGCAGTGTTGTGTTAAATCGGCGCTGAACTGGTGCGCAGCGATCGTAACCGCACACCTAGATACTACGAGGAAGTTGTGGTCCGTTATTTTGACTACGAGTTCAAGCGACTTTTGGCCGATGTTGCCAAAATTCTCTTTACATTTATCAATAAGGAACCTCGTCTTTCTTCCGCTCCACAGCACTTTGTCAGGGTCGTCGAGACGTGCAGGACTTTGATCAGCACTCTGACGAAGCACGGCAGCTGCCGCAGAGGCCGCTTGCACCGTCAGGATCGCGTGGTCTTATGGCGTTAAGGCGTAGCACGCCCGTTTGTCAAGTCAGTGGTGGCAAGTTAGCCCGACGCACATACAACCCGCAATGTTCTCCCATCTGAAAAAAAGAAAACAATGGATAACAAAGAAATGTCGCTGTCGTGCTTCTGAGCGGACTTCTCAAGAATGTTATCACATCTGCACAATTACCAGCAGTTGCGTAGAGTTTGGCATCGCCGTCTAGTAGTATCACGCCAAGATCTTCCACAATCAGGAAAATTTGTTGGTACACCGTCGATGCCTACGACCGTGCGCGACGGGAATGTGCGAGGCAGCACCAAAATGCTGCACCCTCGCGCTAGAAGGTGCAAGGGTTCGGGGCACCATGGCCACACGCAACCAACACCCTGTACAATCAAGGACGTTGGTGCAGGGGGTGCCGCTGCACCTTTCAGAATCTAGGAGCGAGGTACACAAGGTGCAGAGAACCTAGAGTGAATCGAATAGACCTAGTGCTCAGTGATCGCAACCTGATACGTGATGACAAAATGGCAGGTGCTTTTTGTACCACCGGTAAGTCTACCTGTGTTCGTAAGCTCTTCATCTCGATTTCTTAACTTAATAGAAATGTAGCATAAGCAAATGTCCACAGCTATGAGGGTAAACAAAACATTTGTTTGAAATAATAAAAACATTGCGATGTAGCAGCCAACGAGTGTACACCTGCACAGTTAACAGGGTGTTAGAAAAATGCGGTAATTACATTGTCATTATGCAACAATAGAACAATAAAGCAGCATAAACAGCACACTATTTGCACTACTGTACAAACAGCACACTGTACAAATATTTGTAATACTCCCTTTATTTCTAATAACGCATTATTACAGCGTAATTACCACAGTTTCTTAAAAGTCTAGTTGTGATAATAACCAAGCGTAAACTTCATCTGCGTTAAAATCCATGCTTCGAAATTCTGTACACACGAAAGCTGACACAGCTAAATTAAAAATGCCATAAAAAAACTAGGATCTACATATTGTGCTAGAGAATGCCCAAATTTGAAAGGCAGACCAGCATGGATTAATTCAAAAATCGGGGCGCAACATGTACACGTCTGAAAGAATCACAAGTTAGTGGATACAGAGGAATAAAATAAACACGCACTCAGGCCTTACCTACAATAAAGGTAAATTAGACATACCCCAGCAGTATCAAATTTAAGCTTCGGTTTCAATGCTTTTGCAATGCCGGTTTCATTTTTTCCGAGTCCTTTGCCTGGGCAGAGAAAGAAAGCGGTCATGCGTGTGCAAGTGAAAACAATGTGTCCCAGCCACATTAATTTTCTCAGGCGATGAATCTACAGAACTACAGATGATTCCTTCTTTCACCAGCACGGAATAGCGACCAAAAGTGTTTCCATCTTTACCTTCGGACCAACCGTACTTCTCCAAGAGACCACGCGCGAAACCAGAAGCAGCCATTTTAATGACGCACAATAAAAACACACCATTGTTGCCAATGTATTAACAAACTTTTGATCAAATGTAGCAGCTTGTGAAAAAGTCTATAATAGCAAAAACAGATATAAAGGAATGACTAAAAAAGTAAACACTTATTATCAATATTATTTTCTTGAAACAATTTATTTATAGCAGTGTTCGCAGACACGAACTTTTTTTCGTCTGCGTTGAACGGCTTCTGCTTCGTTGATGAACTGGCATTTCCGATTTATTGTGCACTTGTCAAAAACGCTCGTAATTGACCGCTAACACCACGTAGGCTGCCTACGTTTCGCAATCATTTTTATTATTTTGTCTACAACCTCTGCAGTTGAACTTAAAAGTTGTAGTTCCATCAACTTTGTGAAAGCATAAAACACGAAGAAAACAATTTTCTATGCTTATCTGTTCGTCCAGCAGCAAATGCAACAATACAAGGTATAGCTCATTTATGAGCTAAATAAGCAATACAGATAACCGCTATGGCAAAACTGGAGATATCAGATATACGCCTTCAGAAAAGGCTACATTATTTCGAACTCACCATACCATATTGCCGCGAACCATGCATTGGGTTTGTTTATTTGTGTTTTGTTTTTTCGGCCTGGCTGCGCCGGCCTGTGCTATCGCTGTTTTCACAGCGTTTCGAACAAACGCTACCACAGCGTTTCGAACAAACGCTGTCAAACAACGCTTCGAGCGTTCCGAACGAACAGCGTTTCTAACAAACGCTATCACGGCGTTCTCAATACAATTCGACTATTCGAGAAACCCTCGCGCCGAGGGATATAAATTCCCGCACAGCCGATGCCGCGACATTCAATCGCCGACGCTCACTAGCGTGCCCGTCGTTTTGCCGGCCGCTGCTTCGCCGCCTGTGTATTCTTTCAGTTGTTAGGGGAGCACAGGTTCGCTCCAATAAACTTGTTTTCCTTATAGATAACTGCGTCGTCCTTTGCTGCGTGACATCTGGTGGAGGTGCGGGGTACACGTCCTTTTTGGTGATTTTGTTTAGTCTCCGGTAATCAACACAGAATCTTGAAGTGCCATCTTTTTTCTTCACGAGTGCAACCGGCGCAGCCCACGGACTTTTTGATGGCTGTATTCTGTCGTCGCTGAGCATGTCATCAACTTGATTCCGGATGGCTTCGCGCTCGTGTGAAGAAACGCGGTACGGTGACTGTCTATGGTGACGCGCGATGTGCACATTCCACTTGGAGTCACGAGGTGGCCTCCTGCTGTGCGTATGTGCGGACCGTCCCATCTGGTCGTAACTTTCTTTAGCTTGGACGCGATTGACCCGCTCATGACCGAGTAGTCGGCTCCTGTGTCGATGAGGGCGACTACGTCAAGGCCGTCGATGGACAACTGGACGTCGGATGCCGCTTTCCTCGAATTTCGGGTGCGGCGGGGCGTCGTATAGCAACTTGCACGTGTTGATGGTCGGGCACTATGCGTCGTCATCGTCGTCTTCTCAGCGGCAGGCTTCGTCATTTCGGGTACGCGTCGCGCAGCGTAGCTGTCGTCGTTTTCGGGGGTCTCGTCAGGGTGTCGTCGGGATGAGGACATGTCGTGAATCATGGTCTTGCGTCGTTGGAGGGTTTTCATTTTTTCGCCGTTGTGCAACTTGACCTCCAGAAGTTGCTGCTTTTAGTTTCCCCCTCGTGGGCTGGGGGACCTTCCACGGGTGAAGTCAGCATTGCTACGACAGTTGGGGGATTGGTACGGGTAGGGCGACGGCGAACGGTTGAAACGGGATGGTCCACGGCTGGTGTTCGACAGGTATTCTTCGATCTCAAATGGGCGCTGGCCGGCTCGCGGGCGGGGTGCGTCGACGGAGAACCCACGCAAACCCAGCCTCTTGTACGGGCAGCGGCGGTAGACGTGGTCGGCCTCTCCGCAGTGGTAACACAGCAGACGATTATCTGGCGTTCGCCACACCTCGGTCTTCCTGGGCGCCTGGTTTCGGGTTACAGGGGGTCGGGCGGGCGACATTGGGCGGCGGTACGGCGGGGCCTCTTGATAACGGGTTGGGACGGGTCGGGGTCGACGAGCAGCAGCGGAGTAGGTCATCGCTTGTGGTTCGCAAGATGCTTCCGACGGCGTGGAATTCCCCAGTGCTTGCTGAACCTCCTCGCAGACGACGTCAGTGAGGGAGGCGACTTGGGGCTGCGGCGTTGCTGGGAACAATTTCCTCAGTTCCACGTGAACGACGGCGCGGATGGTCTCCCGCAAGTCTTCCGTCGCCAATGCAGGGGCGTTTACCGGGTTCACCGAAAGGGTTTTGAGTGGTCTATCGTATTGCCGCGAACGCATATCCAAGGTCCTCTCGATCATCGAAGCCTCGGTGACGAACTCAGCGACGGTCTTAGGGGGGTTGCGGATGAGTCCAGCGAAGAGCTCTTGTTTAACTCCCCGCATCAGAAAGCGCACCTTCTTCTCTTCTACCATTTCGGGGTCAGCTCTCCGGAACAGCATCTTCATCTCCTCAGCGAACAGTACAACACCTTCGTTAGGGTGTTGCATTCACGTCTCCAACGAAAGGGCGGCTCGTTCTTTCCGCACAACCGTAGCGAATGTTTTGAGGAATTCGCTCTTAAAGACAGTCCAGTCGGTTAGGGAGCCTTCATGGTTCTCAAACCACGTTCGAGCTGCATCCTCCAAATAGAAGAAGACATGACGAAACGTTTCTTCGTCATCCCACCTGTTAAAGATGCGGATGCGCTCCAGCTTCTCCAGCCACTCTTCCGGGTCTTCACCAGGAGATCCTCGGAATGATGGGGGCTCACGAGGTTGTTGCAGAACGACGGGAGGGTTGGTAGCGCTGGTCATGGTGCCTGCGTTGATCATCGTGGTTTTTACGTGTTCTTTCCTTTTTTTTTTATCGGGGAGCAGTCCAAACTTTGGCGTGGCAGAGGTGGTCGAGGGCGTCGTCGATTCGTGGCAGGGGGTCGACTACGATGATCGACGCCATGCTTCCGCACGTAGAAGACGACGACCTCAACGCCGACGTCCAAGGATACCTCCAACGTGCGGAGGAGGCCCACCAGCTCGCTCGAGCACGTATAACGGACCAGCAACTGGTGGATGCCGGACGCTACAATCTCCGACGCCGAGACGCCGAGTACCATCCTGGAGATCGTGTGTGGGTTTGGACTCCCATTCGACGACGTGGACTCAGTGAGAAACTTCTACGACGCTATTTCGGACCCTACCAGATTCTACGACGTGTTGGCGAACTAAAGTACGAAGTGATCCCTGATGGTGACTCCCGTACATCACGACGACTCACGCGGCCCGAAGTCGTCCATGTGGTTCGCTTAAAACCTTTCTACGGACGATGACGAACTTTTAATTTAATTTGTGTGGACTGTCCCTTATGTTAGCATTGGGTCGATGCACTTTTATAGGGGGGGGGGGGGGTAATGCCGCGAACCATGCATTGGGTTTGTTTATTTGTGTTTTGTTTTTCCGGCCTGGCTGCGCCGGCCTGTGCTATCGCTGTTTTCACAGCGTTTCGAACAAACGCTGTCAAACAACGCTTCGAGCGTTCCGAACGAACAGCGTTTCTAACAAACGCTATCACGGCGTTCTCGATACAATTCGACTATTCTAGAAACCCTCGCGCCGAGGGATATAAATTCCCGCACAGCCGATGCCTCGTCATTCAATCGCCGACGCCTCGTCATTCAATCGCCGACGGGCACGCCGTCGTTTTGCCGGCCGCTGCTTCGCCGCCTGTGTATTCTTTCAGTTGTTAGGGGAGCACAGGTTCGCTCCAATAAACTTGTTTTCCTTATAGACAACTTCGTCGTCCTTTGCTGCGTGACAATATTAAAAAAAAAATGCCGCTATATCCACGAAGTGAATGATGATGAGTGGGCGAAGCTCCGGAGGTAAACCTGGTAAACCATGAATCCTCCGTACATTTTGCCCACTCGATTTTATTGCAACGCTCCCCCTAGCGTACGTCGCCACACTATATCGAACGATGACACGCGCCATATGTGGCATCATTCCTATTTTATAACACCTCGCATCTTTCATAATCAACTACACGTACCGCCGTCTAGTTTATAACATCTTGCATCTTTTGGACGGACGGACGGACGGATGGATGTACGGACGGACGGACGGACGGACGGATGGATGGACGGATGGATGGATGGATGGATGGACGCACGGACGGATGGATGGATGGACGGACGGACGGACGGACGGACGGATGGATGGATGGATGAATGGATGGATGGATGGATGGATGAACGGATGGACGGACGGATGGATGGATATGGCTGTACCCTTTAGATCGGGCGGTGGCTGGCGTAATACTTAGAACTGAACGAGAGGTGGCTACATACAGGGGACGCACAGCCCACGCCTTAAGGAGCTTCGCTCCTAAAAAAAATGCCCGCAGCTTCCCTCGGGGGAACACTGAGGAGGATGCGGAGCATATAATTGGTTAACGGGGTGTTAAAGTGTGACTTACTTGGGTCGATGGCTAAATTGGTTAACGTGGTTGTGAAATGGGGTGTTAAATTGCGACTTACTTGTGTCGCTGGCTAAATTGGTTAACGTGGTTGTAGGAGGGGTGTTAAATGAGTGAACACGTACGACACGTATGCGAAAGGGCGGTGTTTATTTATTGCGACGAACTTTGAGCACGATGGCTTTTTGGTCGGTAAAGTGAAGAGTGAGTGGATCGGGTTGCGACCTCGGACGTCGACGCGCCGTACAAACCAACCGACGAGCGGCAACTGAGCGAGCGAGCACCGACCTTGAGTATATATACAGCGCGACGGCGCATGCACTGTCAGCTGTCGAATGTTCGAGAAGGGGGAGAAGCGCAACGGCGCATGCGCGCGCGTCAGCTGCCGATGTTCTCGAAGCGCGACGGCGCATGCGCGCGCGTCAGCTGCCGATGTTCTCGAAGCGTGACGGCGCATGCGCGCTACATTATACAGCTAGCGAATATTCGGGAAGAGGAGAGGCGCACGCGGTGTGTAGA